AAAAAAATATTTGATAGGCAGGAAAGATAAAGAAAGAAAGAGAAAAATATTTGGCTCTTGGACCTGGTCCCGTTGTGAATGCAGTTTTTAAAAAGGAGGCTTGGTTTTAGGGGTGGACTTCTGTTGAGGATGGAAGGATGAGTGCTGAGCAATGGATCAGTATCTGAGGGCTTAGCTAGCCTGGCCTTTGATACCATTATTGTCATTAAAGTGAACTTTCTAGGGCTTGATTTCAAGATCCTGCGCAGAAGTTCCCATTCCTTTTCACCAATTCTGGGGTCTCATGGGAATCCTTAGCTGTTGGAATGTTGGCCAAGAAGGAGTGTTTTTGTCTTTGGGGCTTTCCCATTCTTGCACAGAAATGGCTGGCCGTCATAAACTACCAGGCATTGCCAGGGTTGGCTTCCTTCTAGCTAGAGTGCCATATGTTTAAATGAATGGATTTGCACACTCGCCAGTCAAATGGCTCAGAATCTGCAGAGTTAATTGTTTTTCATCTTCATTCAGAAAGACCTGGCATGCTGTTCTGATTTATATTCCAAGCACAGCACCCTGGAAGTGATAGTGAGAGTATGGCCTTTGTTTACAGAGCAGGGCCTGCCCAGGGTTTGGGTTGAGCTGGGGTTCCCTTTGGGAATGCTTAAGGCTACTAACCACTTGTGGACTTCCTTTCACCTGTGGGATGCAGTGTGCTTTATAAGCATTACCTGTTGTCTTCTGTTAGAAACAAATATTATAAAATGAAAAATGTGAAGAAAATTTTTAAAGAGGAAAACAAGTCTGTACTCTTCTACCCTGGAGAAATTAGAAGATAGTTCAGCCCTGGTTTCTGTCTGAAACAGCTGGGCTCCTGCAGCTGGCACATTGCCTCAACGGAAGCTGCCTGTTCCTGTGGCTCCCATGGGGGTTTCCTTCTCTGAACAGGGGACTGTGCAGCTCTCTCTGTTGGGGCACTGTCTAAACTTGGCAAGTGAGAGATTACTGGTTTCCCTGAATTCTTTGTTGCCCACAGTCGAGTTCCTTTTCCATATCCTTCCTTTGCCATTTCTTACATCTCCAAAGGACATGTGAACTACTTAAGTAGACAAGTCTCCCTGGGTTGATTCTTGTCTCTTCATGGTGTGAATGCTTTGTTTCCCTAACTCTCATTTGCAGGCTGTTCCTGCACATTGGTGTCTCTGCGGTTTACTTGTAAGTGAAGCTTGCAAGCTCTTATTTAGGGTTTGACACCAGGTTTAGTCATTTTTCATTCTTGTGAGTTTTCTTCTAGTAGAGCTCAACACACTGGCTTTTCTCAGCTCCCACTGCTATGATGGAACTTTAGCTTATCTCTGGACTCATTGGACATTGAAGAGTTGGTCAATACCAGTTGAATTATGTCTAAAAGTACCATGTTTAATAAGCTAAAATTATCTTTGTGAACCAAGAAGTAGGGAAGTTGGCCAGATGATTCCCATTTTGTTGTTGAGAGGTTTTTGTCTAGAGGGAAACTTGATAGCCTGGCTTTTTTGGGTAGCTCTCTGAATCATAGCATTCCTAAAATTCCCTGGTCAACCCAGTGTCAGTGTGTCATGCCTATAATCCTAGCTATTAAGTAGGCTGAAATCTGAGGCTTGTAATTTGAAGCTAGCATGGGTAGGAAAGTCCTTGAGACTATTATCTCCACTAAAAGTTTTGAAGTAGAGGTGTGACTCAAATGGTAGAACAGTAGCTTTCAGTGAGAAAGGTAAAGGACAATACCCTGGCCCTGAGTTCAAGCCTCAGTATTGGTAAGCACGCGCACGTGCTTGCGTGTGTGTGTGTGTGTGTGTGTGTGTGTGCACGCACACGCACACACACACACACACACACACACACACAGATTCCCTACTCAAGTAGAGTTTGTGTAAACATGCCATTCTGGAAAGCGTTGACCCCTTAACCTTCACCTGGTGGTCAGGTTGCCATCTTCCTGGGTAGAGCTGCGCACATCTACCCGCTCTCCTTCTTCCTCAACTTAGGCAGAAGACACAAGATCGGCTGGAATTTCCAACACATGATGATGTTTTCAGGTAACAATAAAAGTATAAATATAAAGCAGATTAGTCTTATTTAGCAAACAATGATAGGATGATTACAATATAATCAATAAGCTTTGTAAAACATTCAATTTTCTGGTTCTTTGGTATTCTGTATAGTGCAGATGTAGAGTTCAACTGAATCAGTATTGATTTGGAAGCCATCCTACCAAGAGAAGTCTCTTCTGAAATAT